GGTAACATCATTATGAATATTTTATAGGGTCTCCATGCGTGTAATGTCTAGATTGACATTTATTGAGCGTGTTCTCAACAACCAATATAGAAGCTACATAGCGTAAGAATTTGTTTATATTACGAGTTCGTTTAATTTTACTGAACATAAAAAGTACTGATCAAGGAAATTCCAGAAGAACTAGCGGTGCTTCAAGAATTGCAGTAAAGGAGTTCGTGAATAAAATCCGTCTATGAAGAAAATAAAAATAATCACCATTGGAATCTTAAGGATTTATCACATGTCTTTGGAAACTTGATAGTGGTAGAGCTTATGATATTGGGAACACCTAGGCATTTAGGATATAATCACAAAATTTCCGAAATGGTGATGAGAACAATTCATATATCTTTTCAGATTTCACACTGCTAAATCCTTGTTATTTTGAGTTCCAATATTAAATCATTTTATCATAATTTGATAAGCAATGTGCAATATTTGATTGCTGTGTTTGCTGTAAACATGATTTGAGAGCGAGGTTGTATTCATTCCTCGTAATAATTAGTTGGCAGTGCGATGCACATAAATCTGACCAGAAGTAATTAATTATTGTTAAACTGAAAGCTGCCAGATTTCTATAACTCTTTCACCAAAAAGACGGTAAGAGAAAGACGAACAGTAGTGAGCTGAGCGAATTGCTTATATAGAATATGCATTAGTGGAATTAAAATCTCACTTATATTGAAAAAGCAGGGAGCAACATCCCTTTGTGCTGTGACGTTAAATTTAGTTAAAGTTTCGTCCTGAAACTAAATGAACATTTGTTAGTTACTGTAGCTGGAAATGCTGTCAAATACCCAAACCTGAGGTATTTTATGTTCACCACACTAAATATGCGAGCTTACTTCAGCACCTTGAAAATTTTGAATTTCGTTATGAATTACTCTCAAGGTTTATCTGTGAGCAATATTCCCCAATTTTTTTAACATATTTAAAATTTGTGGCTCTCGACTTGCTTGTGGACAGTAACCAGAAATCATAAAATGTCTTTGTCAGGATATTTCAGCTTAGATGAAACAATTAATTAAAATAAATAGTGCTATATTTCTGGTTGGTAACCATTAAAAAAAATGAACGAAATGGTCCTCTTGAATTAAATGAGCCTCTCGATTCTTGATTGCATTACAATTCCAACTTATTTCCTTTTCCATATTTCGCTATGTCAAGACTAATTAATAAATGTTTCCATAATTCAAATACAACATATATTTGTGCTCCAATATACTTGCTTTGTGTAAGATCTAAATAATTTTTAAGACAGGCCATTTTTCAATTTATTATCGTAAATAATTCTCGAAAATTGTCCAAGTAAAAATGATTTTTTGAAGTGATGGGAAATACGGTGTAATTACAAAATTCATGAGATGAACTGAGCCAAAATGATGAACTGAGCCTATATATGGAACAAGAAATGAATAAGGAGAGTGAAATTCACGTGAAGCGTCAGGAAGGAATGAAGACGATTCAGGATACCAAAATCTCAAATTACAAGTTTCGAGGTTATATCATTATCAAGATTCAGGCTCTGAAGATGGCCAGAATAGTAATAAAAGTTGAGTAAGCAAAAAAGTTAGAGTTCATGCTCAAATTTCAACTGAGCAAAAAATTTGGTAAGCGTAATTAAACGACCATTCTTATTGGAGGAACTACTTCTGGATGTGAATATTTTGTCGATCTGTAAAATGATGTGACAGCTGATTTGTTTGAGAAGAAGTCATGTGATTGAGGAGGAATGACTAATTGGTAGATAATTGGTTGAGTACTGATAAGAATTGGAATGTTAGGGAGTAGTATGCTCCTGTCTGGTGTAGTGATCCTTTATAACGCTTCCAACTGGTTTGTTTATCTTTGTGGAGAACTGAGGATATATTCATTAAATTAGCTAAATTATCTGTAATATGACGTCACCACTGTCTCCTTCTTTTGGCCATTTCTCCTATCGCGTTGTTTTCACCATGTAATCTAGAACAGGAACAATGACGTCCTTCTACTCCTACTACTAATCAATATCTTCGGCTTTGCTTACCGCTAAATTAATTCAGTTTGCAACTAAGGGGCCATTCAATAATGATGAGTTTATCTTCACAGAATGAAGTTTTTAGTATTGCTATTATTTTAGTTATAAGAAAAAATTGGTGATCAGAGTTTTCGAAATTACTGAAACGTCCGTAAAGAGTGAGAAAGGAATGAGCGGGATAATAATTAAAAGCCAACTGAAAGTGAATTTGTAAGCAGAGGAGCAAAGTGTTAGACGCGAAATGTAATCAGATAAATCCGTGAATTTATCTGTTTTTAAGGGCAAGAGTTGAGATGTCTTTAGGTTTGACATAAAATTTTTAAAATTACTGTCATGTTTAGAAACACTACAGTAATAGTCGATTCATGCAGACGAACAATATATTAATATTTGCTGAATGAATGTAAGTTTCAATCACAGTCATCATAATAATAATGACATTGATGATTACTGATAATGTCTATGATTATTGTCAAGTGACAATAATGAGAAGTGTCAGGCCAATAAGTTACAAATGCAGAACTTTCTCAACGGTAGATTTTGGTGCTGCATTTATGCCTTGTTATCTCGGCATACTGCTGCTGATTGATTGATTGATTGATTGATTGACTAAGTCACCGTCACATAAGGGATCTATTGTTACAAAATAACAGTTTCGCAACATAGGAGCGCAAGTCCAGACTTATTTTTGAAATGATTAATGTCGCGTATACTATTTTTCAACTCTTCTTTACCTCTCAATCTCTTCTTCCTCGCTTTATTTTTATTCGCTGGGACGGTTTAAAGTAAGCATTTATTAGTGTATGTGGGGTCTAGTTTTTCTTTTTTGAAATTATCCACTCACATCAAATTTGAGGTAATGAAGTAAACAAAGCGGAAATAAGGTCAACCAACAACTGAGAGTTGTTATATCCATGTATTTAAGAAGATTAATACCACCGAACAATTAATGGTCTCCCGACCATGAAGAATAGATGAGGATACAGAATAGTATTCCAGAGCAGATGATGTTTATACTCCACCATGCTTTTATCATTTTAGTAAAATAACATTGTATAGGGGAGGTAGCACCATTGCAGCTGTTTCAGTTCTCTCCTTTATATAAATTTCACTGTCTTTCGTATCCCGATCTTTTCAGTTCCTCACTGTTTCCACTTGTTAGGAGCATTCGATCATTGAACGTTGCTGCTCAAAGTGGACATTTATTAGTATCACGTGCTCGTTTTGAAATTTGAAAAGGAGGCTTTTGATGTCAAACCTAAAGACATCTCGATTCTTGTCCTTAAAAATTTTCTAACTTTTGAAATATGTTTTTTTCTATATGTTGATGAGGGGACGGATACGAAAAGATAAATAGGAAATTGGTTTTAGCGTGAATATCTGAATTTAGTTCAAAGGATGGACTCACTTCATGTGAAAGGCCGGTCGAATAAACACTCTAGGACTTAAAGTCTAATTAGTTTTACATTGAGCAAGATAGTTCGGCGATTGATGTCACGAATCCCATCAAATGAATCCTATAATAATCGTATCCGATCTCCAGTCGTGCAACAGTGGGAGAAGTTAATACATTAAAAAACTAGGATAGTTCAATAATATATTGAATTCCATTAAAAAAAATCTTGGTTTGAAGTTCATGAATTGAATTCGCTTTGAATTCTTTCTGGCCTGTAGCCCACTGCTGGTGGTTTGTTTGAAAGGAAAAAAAAATATTTCCTGCTAAAACATCAATCTAACCATTTTCCATTTTTAAGGATATTTCTGAAGTATTTCACGATAGTACAATGGTAAACATTCCAAACAAGAATATTAGCGTTAAAAAAAAATGTTAAGAAGTTACAAATTAGAAACAGCAATCCCAAAGTTAGCATCAAGGCAAAACGTTTAGTCCACGATTCTTGGCATTTCTGGCTACATTTAAAATTATTCCCTGTGGAGCGAGACTAGTTTATTGAAATAAAGAGGCAAAAATAGGTACAAATTTCTAATTCTAATTCTTTTATTTACTCTTCGTCTTTTTAATTGTAGCATCAAGAAATATTAGTTTTCTAGATGATATTTCACAGCATACTGAGATATGATTGATAATCTGATGGTATTAACGATCAGATAGAAATAATTTAACGCTTCTATAAAACTAACAACAATTTGTTATTGTTTATTGGAAAGTTATTAAAATGATAGGTACAAAATTTTCACGAATTTGCGTCTTTCCACTTTGTATCATTGAAAGAAAATTGCATGGAGAATAGATGGTTTTTTT